CTCCTTAATGAGGATTAAGTGTTCCTCCCTACTGTCCCAGCACTGGGCAGCTGGCCCAGCCATTTAAGATCAGCTAATGACACTCAGGAGCACTAGGTTGGGGAGAACAGAGGCCCCCTGCTTATTATTTACAGGACAGTGTGTGCTCTGAGTAACCTCTCTCTAAATATAAACACAACCATTACCTTGCACAGTTTCTCATCAATGAACCTTATCTTTTGTGATTCATGGTGTTTGATGTTCCTAGTGGACAGCATTCCACGTGGGCGGGTGGAGGGGGTGCTGGAGGCTCAGCTTCTAATCCCTGATATATTGTGGACTTGCTGTGTGGCTTTGGACATGTCATCGAACCTCTCTGGGCTATTTCATCAATGAAGTGAAAGGTCAGGTTGGATGTTATCTAGAAGCCCTCGCTGTTCTACAATTCTAGGATCCATGTACTTCCAGATCATTTCTAATAATTACTCGTCACTTCAAGAAACATTTATTTCAGGTGACTCTGACTCCATGGAGTTCACCTGCTGGCAATCTGGGGTTGACCCATGATAAGCAAACCGATTAGGTCCTGTTACAAGGTGACTAGCATAACTCCATCGCAGACTCCAGCACAATGCCCAAGTTGTATTATAGCTGCACAGGAGTTAAACTTAAAAAAAAAAAAAAAAACTTGATAAAATCGATTCATCGTTTGATAGTTTGTCAGAGGCAGTGTGAATAAGGTCTATATTAATTTGTATGAAATCTCATGGATTTTTTTTAATTGTTTGTTTTCTGGATTCTTGGCTGGAGGGAAGCACTCCTTTTCACCCCACAGGATACTTCTGAAATTCTGTGGTGTCTTCTAAATATGTCTCCCTGTTCCCATTTCTCCTGTTCCATTGTACACAGGGCAGCCAGGTGACTGTCACTACCGCCATTCTTAGCCATCTCTTCCTGCTCACCAGCCTCCCAGCTCCCTGAGGCCAACTGGATAAGCACAACCCACTCAGACCAGCAGCTCAAGGCCACCCACATCATGCCTCCGGGGTCCTGGGCAGTCCTTCCAGGGGCTGCTCTTTTAACAAGATGCCCAGGGCTACGGTGCAGATCCAGCACCCAGGCAGGGTCCTCACCCCAGCCCCCCAGCACCACACAGTCACTGGTCTCCTGGATGTATCCTTTACCCACTCCACCTAAGCAATCCAATCTGCTCTATAGAATTGATGTCAAGGTAATTTTATACCAATTCCATGATAAGCTTTCTCTCTGCTTCAAAACCCCATAGGCCAGTCCTGTCTAGTGGAAACAAACATAACTCCCTTTTATAATTTAATGTTATAGTTGTCCTATTAACAAAGAGAAGGAAATAGATGAAGTCAATTTTGGTCATATATTTTATTGAACCAAATATATCTAAATTATTATTATTTTAACATATAAAACCATTTTTAAATTATCAAATTATTTTCCTTTTTGGGGCGGGTAGCAAATCTTCAAATTCCATTGTGCATGTTACACCTACAGCACATCTCAAGATGCTAAATTCTCCTGGGGGAAAATCTGATCTGTATTTAGATCTCATAGAATTTACCACTGGAAAAGCAGCTTCACATGCCCAGCTGGGCCAAAACATACTCAAAAGCCTGGCAATCACTGAACCAAGGGTCAGTTTTTAAATTGAAACTTACATCAGTTAAAATGAAATGATGTTGGAGTCCTGGTTCATCAGACAGACACGGGCCACATATCCATTGGTTGGTAGCTGCATGTGGCCAGGGAACCATACTGGTCAGTGCAGTCACAGTCCTGGGTGCCTCCTGAGAGGCACCCACCCCACTTGGGTTTGTATGAGAAGGCTGCATGTGTGTGACTCAGCCAAAGCACAATTCCCAGGACAGGACCTCTTCTTTCTCCCTCATTTCTCTATTCCCAGTGCCCAGCACAGGGCCTAACACACACTAGGCTCTAAGTAAACACTTTGTAGATAAATGGGAGAAAAAGCCAATGGATATGCGATCTCATTCTTCCTATCAAATTATTAATCATTTGTGCATATCCATTTGGTCCTCCGAATCTCGGGTTCCTAATACCTGGATTTAACTAACTGCAGGTGACAAATACATGTATAGACATTTTTCTTCTCTTTGTTTCCTAAGTAATACAGTGTAAGAGCTATTTACATATAATTTACATTGCATTAGGAATTCTTTTTATTTATTGGTTCTTTTTAATTATACATGACAGTAAAACCCATTTTGATATAGTTATACAGCATGGAATATATAATTTTTTTTATTTTTTAAAATTTGGTCTAGTTATTATACTTGATAGTAGAATGCATTTTGACACATAATCCATAAATGGAGTATAACTTCTCATTCACCTGGTTGTACATGATTAATTACACAGGTCACATAATCATATATGCACATAGGGTAATAATGTCTGATTCATTCTACTATCATTCTTACCCCCTTGCCCCCTCCCCTCCCTTCACTCCCCTCTGTATAGTCCAAAATACCTTTATTCTCCCCACTACTTATTGTGAACTGCCACCCTCATATCAGAGAAAATACTTGGCCTTTGTTTCTTTGGGATTGGCTTATTTCGCTCAGCATAATATTCTCCAATTCCATCCATTTACTGGCAAATGCCATAATTTCATTCTTCTGTAAGGCTGAGTAATATGGGATATATCTTATTCTAGTTAGGACCTCATTCTTGTGGATATACATGATGGTGGGATTCACTGTGATGTTTTCGTATAGGTACCATAGGAAAATTACATCAGATTCATTCCACTGTCTTTCCTTAGGTTTTGCATTAGATATTATAAGTAATTTAGAGATGATTAAAAGCATGCAGATACTACACCCTCTTATATAAGAGACTTGAGCATCCAGGATTTTGGTATTTAACCAAGGTTTCTGGAACCAATCCCTTATGGATACTGAGAGATAACTAATCTATTCTTCTTAGCATTTTCTATTATGCCTACACACAGCCTTGCCCAACTCAAGGTCAACAAGCATTTCTTCCTCATTTAGATGACTTAAGGGTGATATGACCACGTAGGTTTCACTCATGTTAGTTTATGCTCAAGTATGCAAGGAACACATGCATATCATACATGAAAATAAGACTTTTAGGGTCTTACTTTTTTAAATTCTTCTCAGTGTGACAATCAACTGATTTAACCATAGAACGTGTGAGATCACACTAAAGTGACCATGGGGATGGCTGTCCTTTTAAAACAGAGATCTCAGAAGGAAATTCTAATAGATTCACTCTTTTCTTCCCTCCCTCATTCCCTCATACATTCTTTATTTGCTGTATTGAACACTGGACTTCTAAAGAAATATGGGTACTCTCTATAAAACCTTAAACAGATGGAAAGAGAGAGATAAGGGTGAAAAGAGACTGAGAAGGAAGAGGACAATGGTACAGCTGGTACAAGGAGCAGCTGCTAGCAAAACCCACCCAGGGTACATGTCCACACAGCCAGGGTGGGGCCAGCTGTCCCAGGCAACACACCAATTTCCAGGGTGTCTAGATCCTTATCTGGCGATCAGTACCTTGAGAGATCAGCCTTGTTTTTATGACAGTGATATTACTATAAAAATAAGCCTGATTCTCATCAAATGCAGATTAAGCATCCCTAATCTGAAAATCCCCAATGCTCCAAAATCCAAAACTTTTTGAGCATTCACTTGATACCATAAATGGAAAATTCCACCATAGAACTGTACTTCATGCACAGAATTATTTTAAAACATTGCATAAAATTACCTTCGGTTTATGTGTATATGGTGAATGTAAAATGTAAATAAACTTCGAATTTAGACTTGGGCCCTATCCTAAAAATATTTTAATTATGTATATGCAAATATTCCAAAGTCCAAAATTTGAAGCACTTCTTGTCCGTCCCAAGCATCCTGGATAATGGACACTCAGCCTGCACTTCCATGAAAATGGGATTAGAGACCTAAAGTTTATAATCCCTACCACAGCTTTCACTGTCAGAGTCAGTCCAAGAAAAGGATATCAGAGCTCTCCCTCAGCCCCCTCCAAGATGAAGTTTTTAGGTTTTGACTCCCCAAATCTTTGCTATGGTCCCAGTGGGTAGGTTTGCTTTGCACTGAGTGTGTTCCTTGCCACTTATCCTAATGAGGTCTTTGCAACAGATCCAGGGATGCCAACTGAAATCTTCCTACAGCACATCCCATCCAACTGTGCCCCAGCTTTACTTTACCCAATAGCACCTGGTATCTGAATAGAAGAGAGAAGGAGGCTTGGAGGCACCAGCAACCTCTTGTCTTGGATCTGTCTGGGCATAGTAGTACACGCCTATCATCCCAGTGACTTGGGAAGCTGAGGCGGGAGGATCACAAGTTCAAAGCTAGCCTCAACCTTTTAGCATGGCCCAGAGCAACTTAGTGAGACCTGTCTCTAAATAAAGTATTTTTTTTAAAAAAGGACTGGGGATGTGACTCAGTGGTTAAGCACCCCTGAGTTCAATCCCTGGTACCAAAAAAAAGAAAGAAAGAAAGAAAAAAGAAAAAATGTCTGTTTCTTTATTTCTTGCCTTTTTGTTATTGCTAAATGCATTGGGGGACTATTTAAAAACTTGCATTGAAGTTGGGTATGGTGGATGCCTGTGATCCCAAATCCTTATGGGGCTGAGGCAGGAGGATTGCAAGTTCGAGGCCAGCCTGGACAACTTAGTAAGACCCTGTCTCAAAAAAATAAAATAAAAAGGGGTGGGATGTAGCTAAGTGGTAGAGTGCCCCTGTGTTCAATTCCCAGTACAGAAAAAAAAAAAAAAAACCAAAACTATGACATATTTGTTTTTAAAAATTAAAAATATAAGAATAAACAAGGTAGCAATTATAAATGGAACCTCACTTTTAAGTCTAAAATGTTCCACCAGAGTTGGAATTTCCTGTCAAGTTTCCTGAATATTTTTCCTTATAGTTGCATGATTTTCAATTGATTTTATATTTAGTAGTGGTTCCCAGCAATCCTGAGACAATAGACAGTTTACCGGGAAGTTACATGGCTACATGAATCTTCACAGCCAGGGGACTGTAGCAGTGGAACAGCTCTGATCCAGAAGGTAACCCGATCACCAGACGAAGGCAGACAAGACGGACTTTTCAGAGGGCAAGGTCAGTGACTGGGTTGGTCAGGGCTCCTGAGAGTGCAAGTGACAGACCCCTGCTCCAACACATAAGAAACATGCTGTGTGTTGCCTTGTGTGTCCAGGGTGGCTAAAGGGGGGATGGGTTAGCAGTGGGTCCACACACAGAAACAAGGTGATCAGGAATCACACTCACAATCTCCATTTCCAACTTGGTTTTTCTCTGGAGGAAAGAAAAAACATTTTTTTTTAAATTTTAGTTTTTACCCAACCCCAGCCCCTCAGGTTTTTTAGTAGGTTTCCTTTAACAGTTGGCGGGGAAATAGCTGTTGGCTGTTCCAGAATACATACTCTGGCACAGAAATCCTAGTGGGAAAAGAATCTCTCCTAGCATGTAAATAAATCAACCCCTAGAAGGATCCTCATTGACCCTGATCTTGTCACATGCCCTCCTCTGCCATAATAATTTTTTATGGGAATAGGGTACTATGATTGGCTAGAATAGATCACATATGCAGACTTGTGATGGCGTGTGGTTGTTCAACAGAAAGAGAGCCGCTGCAGCCAAGGACTGGCTGAGAGCAGTGGCAAGGGCTTCCCAAGGACTTACTAAGTAAATGTACTTACTAGACCTCTGTTCTTTGTGAGGCAGCAAACAATCATCCAAATGCCTGCTCTGCAGTGTACATTCTATTAAAGCAATCTTCATCAAGATTAAAAAGCATAGCAAGATGTGGTGAGGCACGCAGTAATCCCAGCAATTTGGGAGGCTGAGGCAGAAGGATTGCAAGTTCAAGGCTAACCTCAGAAACTTAGTGAGGCCCTAAGCAATTTAGTGAGATCCTGTGTCAAAATAAAAAGGGCGAGGGATGACATGGGGGCTTGATGGCACGTGCCCATAATCCCAGCAACTCCCGAGGCTGAGGCAGGAGGATCTCCAGTTCAAAGCCAGCCTCAGTAACTTAGTGAGGCTCTAAGCAATTTAGGGAGACCCTGTCTCAAAATAAAAAATAAGAAGGGCTGGGAATATAGCTCAGTGGTACAGCATCCCTGGGTTCAATCCCTAGTACTTCAAAAAGAAAAAAAAAAGAAGTACTTCCACATCTGGTTTTATGTCAACACCAGATTAGGTACAGGGTACCTCTCAGGAGATCCTCTTCATCCCTAGACAATGGATTTTAAAACTTTACTAATTTTCAAAACAAGGCACACTCCTCCAGCAACAGCTCTGTTCTTACTAAATCCCCAAAGGCTGCAGCATCTCTGTATTTGTTCCCTATTGCTGCTGTAACAAATTACCAGCCCAGAGGGTTCTCCTATGGTTCTAGGGACCAGAAGTCTAAAGTCAAAGTGTTGTGGGTCTGCCCTCCTTCTGAGGCTCTACGGGAGAATCCATTACCTTGTTTCCCCTATTAGAGTATGCAAATAAACACATACCACATCTGCTTCTTCATCTTCTAAAGAAAAACATAAATCCAAGAAACAAGCATCAGTACAGCCAGAATTAGTACATAACACATTAGTAGGGGATTCTATAAGGATGAGGTGGAGGGTCAGGGTAAGAGTGATCTTGATGCCACAAGGAGCAGGGAACTCCCATAAGTGAAATGAGCAATAGGAAGTCCATGTCTCCACCTGTGAAGTATTTTAGGAAAAAAAAAAAAACCCACCTGAATCTGAGCACTTTTCTAAATCTACTTACCAGGTTACAAGAAATCCAAAGACTCTTTAAATAAAACCTCAAGGATATTACCAACCAAATCCAGGATTTGAGAAACTCTGTAGGTCAGATGACTCACTTTGATTAACTAGTGTCATGAAAAAATATACATATAGGAGGAACAAGTGATTTAGAGGAAAAGAGACTTAAAAGATATATCCCCAGCTGGGTACAGTGGCACACACCTGTAATCCCAGCGGCTCAGAAGGCTGAGGCAGGAGGATCGAGAGTTCAAAGCCAGCCTCAACAAAAGTGAGGTGTTGAGCAACTCAGTGAGACCCTGTCTCTAATAAATTCAAAACAGGGCTGAGGATATGGCTCTGTGGTCAAGTGCCCCTTAGTTCAATCCCTGGTACCAAAAAAACAAAACAAAAACATATCCCCAAGGCTACATGTGGTCCTTGTTTGGATTCTCATTTAGACAAAAGATATTTTTTTGAGACAATCAGAAAAAGGCAAATGCAAACTGTTACTAAGATATTAAGGAATGTTTTGTTAATTTTGTTGGTATTTTGGTTATTTTTGAAGTCTTTGTATTTTAGAGAAAGACATAAATGAAATGACGTGATATCTGAGATTTACTTTTAAATAGCCTAAGATAAAAAGCGAGAATGTATGAAACAAGAATCACAGGAGGTTGATGACTATTAAACACAACGCTGGGTTCACAGCAGCTCAGTATGATTTTCTTTACTTTTGTGTGCACTTAAAATTTTCCATAACAAAAACATTTAATGCATTCATTTTGTATGGAATGTGCTGTGGCAGAGTCTGCTACCAATTCCACATGGTTTTCCCTTTCCTCCTCACTAAAATTACTCACTACTATCCCCTGTAGTATAGAGTCCAACCAAAGATTATCTGTCCCAGTTTCCTTTGCATTTATGTGAGGCCATAAAACAAAGATCTGGCCAAAGAGATGCAGATGTATTCTGGACAAAATTGAGGAATTTCAGAGAAAATTCCCTAAAGGGCCCTGACCTAAAGGTATGCTTTTAGCTCTTCCCCACACCCACCACCACCTTCTTCTTTACTTCTTCAGTATGTATGTGATGGCTGGCACCTTAGCAGCTACCTTAGACCATATGGTGAAGATGAAAGACACTATTCTAAGACAGTGGAACACATGAAAATGAAAGGATTCTGGTCCCTGATCTCTGGGGACCTCCAATACCAGCCCTGGATAGTCTACTTAATGGCCTCATTTTATTAAAAAAAAAAAAAAAAAAGAAAGTTATCCTGTATGTTTAAGCCACTGTAGGGCAAACATCCCCAAAGGCAAAACCCCCATGATCCAAGGGCTGTGCTGTGAAGGAAGAGAGAGAGAGAGAGAGAGAGAGAGAGAGAGAGAGAGAGAGAGAAACTACTACAAAAGAATAGAGAAAAGGGTCAAAATTTTGATTGGGCACAGGATGAAGGTGACCTGTGAAAACTTCTCTGAGAACCTGACATTTAGCTGAGATCTTAAAAATGAATAAGTGTTTGCCAATGGTACACGTTCAACGAATACTAAAAAAGGAGTGTTACGGTGAAAATCAATGCCTGAGAAACCCTGACATCTAACAGGGTGTCAGAGGAGGTTGGGCTCTTCCCAAGTTTCAAAACATGTTCATGGGATGAATAAGGGCGCTGGGTGATTAGTGGTTGCATGGGCTGTGACTGGCAGAAGCCAGGAGTGGGTGGGGCCTGCAAGGTGGCAGTTGGTAGTGTTAATGAACGGCCTCTAACAAATGTTCTGTCCCTTTTTCTCAAGGATGGGATCCAGGAGTTCAGAAGGAATCTAACTCAATGGGAGCTCAAAGTTTGCCACTGGAATCCACTCCGACCCCTTTGCCTCCAGCACTGTCACCTGGAGACTGCTCAGGTCACTTCTCACCTGACCCCAGATTAAACCCAAGAATCTGGAGGGATGGAAAACTGAAAACAAGAGTGAGGCCCATCCTCAGAGAGCGAGGACTGAGCCCAGCCAAAGGGTCTGGGATCTGGGGATAGAGGTCACCTGTTCTGAATGTGGGAATGCTTACCTAGTCCCCAAGATTGGAAATTGAATCCCAGCTGGCCTGTTGCTTGAACATGAACTTGCGTCGATCATTGTACCTCCCTGACACACATATATATATTTTTTCATTTGTATAGTAATGTTGAAAATCACGAAGTAGAGAAAATTGTATTCCATGACTGTAATAATCACGTCAAAATGAAACCCCATGTTATGTATAACGATATGAATGCACTAATGAAAACATTAAAAAGAGAGAGAAAGAAAATTATGGCAACATCCCTTTAACCTTTTGGGATTAAGCCATGAGTTTTCAGTGATGCTGATAACTTCTGGAAGACACATAGTTTCAGTTCATAACCAGAAAGAAGTCTTTTGAAGAGCTGATTCTGAACACCGGTCCAGGAGGTGGTGCAAAATTATTATTTTCCCCACCTCTTGTCATGCCAGGAAAGAAAAATTTGATTTTTTTCTCTCTGTGGCCTCCTAACTTTCCTCCCCTCTTCTCCCCCGCCCCCCCACAATCTCACTTTAAGTTCCAGCTCCTCTTTCCCCAGGACCACAGCAAAAATCCAGAAGAGGTAGGGTTGGATTCTGCCTCCATGGGCAAAGGGCAGTGGAGGGGGCTTGGCTGGAATCTCTCTTGAGCTCCAGATGAGAGGCATGAATATATTTCAGATTCTGCAACACAGGGGATCAATAAGAAAAAAGAAAAAAAAAATCTCTTGCTCACCTTGACAGTTTTGGGAACATGAATTTGGTATATTATAGTAACCAGCTATTATCTCTTTTCTGTTTACCATCAATTCCCTACCAAAGCAAAGGGGCAAGGGAGTAAGAGAGACCATAAGGAGGAAAGAAAATTCCATCCAACAGTAAACGTAAAGTATCCTAAAGCGCAGTGATCTGTAGGACATTTTGTGACAACATGAAGGCAAACCTCAGCCAGTTCTATTCTGGGCCCACTTTTAAGGACCTTTGTCTACCTTGGCATCACCCCCCGTAATCCAGGATAATCATTCTCTTTTAAGGTCAGCTAATTAACATCCTTAATTCCAACCTCAGTTTCAGACTAGAATTTAGAAGCGGAGATGGAGTTGATGAGAATAAGTCACTGCATCAACTAATTCTCAAATTACTTAATAGCCAACTCCCTACCCATTTTGATACTTGAAATTCTTTTCCTCTTTTCTTAACCATTTTTTGACACTATTATACCTAACTCCAACAGAAAAGCAGAGCCTTCTATTTACTTAACTGACTTATTTAATCAACATGATTGGTTAACTAAAAATAAACCTCTCAAACTACTCATATAGCTCTTGTATCCTAAGTCAACACACACACACACACACACACACAGAGAGAGATGGGGGGAGCCTGGAATTCTGCATACTGGTCGCTCAGGACCCCAAAAGCCTCGGGATTCTAGGAGAGGTACCTATAGAGTCACCTCTGGCTGGAGCCATAATGGTATCTCCATATTTACTCATATCACCCTTGAATCTGCAGTGAAATGAAACTTCTTTATTTCTTTATAAATCATCAGCTGGTCCTCACAACTTAGTTGATTCCAGAAACTTAATTTAACGTAATAATTGAAACTAATTCCCCTAGATAAATACTTGTTCTATTTAAGCAAGATTTTTTTTTTCATTCAACATCTACCTCTCAGTTCCTCTCCAAGACCCTGTCTAAAGGACTTTGTCTGCAAAGGTGGGTGGGGTTACCACGACCTCACAGAGATGGGGAAGTGAGAAGTGGGAAGAGCCCTGGGTTGCATCCTCCACCTCTTTGTTGGTCTGCTCTGTGCTGTGGTTGAGAGCAGCCTGTGGGGCCTTGGTCAGTGCCTGAGATCAGGGCTCTCAGAAGCCTCTGCCGCTCATGCCTGATCCAAGGTTCTGCCCATTCACCTTGGTATTAGTTTCCTGTGGTTGCTATAATTTTTTTTTTTTTTTGCAACAAAGGCAGGTGGGTCTTAAAACAATACAACTTTATTCTTTTACAGTTCTGGAGATCAGAAGTCCAAAATGAGTCGGGGGGTGGGGGGTTATGAAATCAAAGTGTCAGTACATCCTTATTCCTTCTTGAGGTTCTAGGAGAAAAAGCATTTCCTTGTGTTTTTGGCTTCTGGAGGCAATGTCATTCCTTCCCTTCCAACAACTTCATGGTGGGCTGAGGGCTGAGGCTTATCACGAGGCCACCCCTCTGGCTCCCTCTCTTCTGCCTCCGTCTTCCTGACTAGTAACACTTAAGGCCTCTTGTGATTACACCAGGCCCACCCAGATAACCCAGGATAGTCTCCCATCTGAAGTCAGCTGAGTAGAAACCTTAATTCTCCTTTACTGTGCAATAAAACATGTCCACAGGCTCCAGGGATTAGGGTGTGGACATCTCTGGGAGGCCTTGATCTTGCCTACCACAGCTTCTAAATCTCCTCTACATGTCTGGGTGGGACAAGATCCAGACGCAACAGACCATGTGGAGGCGTGGAGGTCAGGCCCTGGGCCTCCACCAGCACCTGCCACCACCACCAACCTACACTCTGGCCACCAGGCTGGGTCTGGCGCCCTGCAGCTCCTACTTCGCTTCATTCAGAGAGTGAGGCTCCCTAACTGGTGTTTTTAAAGCTTCTTCCACCCCAAACCCCAGACTTAGTCTGAAGCAAACAGGAAAGAAGAGCCCAGCTGAAGAAACTCTATAGACTCCAGTTCCCCAGGCATGGTTCCTGATTTGCTAATTTAGGAATTTCTTCCTCTCACCTCCCTCTTTTCCCTATCTCCCAGCCTGTGGTCTGGTAAAAGAATAAATCAAGAATATATTTTAACAACTAGAACTAATCAATTTTTGTTGTTGTTGTAATGACTCTGGGTCTGTCACCTGACGCTCTCCAAGCCACCAGGGAAACAAGATTTAATTTATAGACTGTGGAAACACACCCCAAACAATTCTACAGAGTTCTCCAATCTAACACAGAAACACAGGTGAATGAGAGGAAGGAGAACAAGGGCTGAGCTACAGTCGAATCTTAAATGTGGTTAAAGCCATTTCCAGCAGCATACTGAGCAGAAAAGAGAGACTTCTCTACCCTTGGCACACTACGTGGCTTTCACAGTGGGCGGCAGCCATCGGTGGGTAGGGAGGTGGTGCCCTTAGTCACGGACTAAGAACCCTTCATGATACAGAATTAGAAGCTGGTAGGCCCCTTGTCACCACTCTAGTTGACAATTACAAATCATCTAAAGCCCCCAGCATAACCCATGACCAAATCATTCCATTTCTGAATGCCTTTGACTAAATGTATTGTGTACTTGAATTTACTTTTTTTTCCCCCTCTTATTTTTTATTGGTGCATAATAATTATACAGAATAGTGAGTTTCACTGTGGCATATACGTATATGCACATAACATAATGTGATCAATTTCACTCCCATAACCTCCCCACCTCCACCCCACCTCCCTTCCTCCCTCCCAAATCCCCTTCCTGTACCCCAAAGGACTTGAATTTAAAAGCAAGGGAGCTTTTCTTTGAGACATCATAAGGACACAAGACTTGGTCTATTATTAAAAATCCAATTCAAAATCCCATCTTCCAGGAGCCAAGTAATCTTATGTAAAAGAGCTTTGCACAGAGCTGGGCACATTTAATTATGGGAGGATGAGGCTTTCTACTTAAATTCACAATAAAGAAGAGACCCTAGAGTGCTGAGAGCCAGAAGTAGTAGACAGAAGGGGAAGAATATAAGGATGGGTACCCAGGCTTCCTTGAGAGGAAACTTTTGTGGCAGGTTACCCTCAAACCATAGGAGAATCTGGGTAGTCTCTACTCAATTAATTAATTAATCTATTTATTTATTTATTTAGAGGTACTGGGAATTGAACTCAGAGATGCTCAACCACTGAGCCACATCCCAGCCCTATTTTGTATTTTATTTAGAGACAGAGTCTCACTGAGTTGCTTAGTGCCTCACAATTGATAAGGCTGGCTTTGAACTCTCAATCCTCCTGCCTCAGCCTCCCAATCCACTGGGATAACAGGTGTGCGCCACCGCACCCAGCTTCAATTTTGTTTTTAGGGAAGAAAACAAATAAGATTTCTGTGGGGGCTCAGTTGGTGGAGTTCTTGCCTCACATGCACAAGGCCCTGTGTTCAGTCCTCAGCACAAGAAAGAAAGAAAGAAAGAAAGAAAGAAAGAAAGAAAGAAAGAAAGAGAAAGAGAAAGAAAGGAAAGATCTCTAAGCTTCACCAGCACTGCAGGGTCATTTCTTCAGCCTAGGTTTCCTGGGTTCTTCTTGTCCAGGTAGGTCTCAGGGCAAGGGATGAAGGATCCCTACAATTTGATCCTTTACAAGATTGTTCTGTTTCCTTTCTAGTACAATAGAATGTGTTACAATGGACATATTTCCTTAACCTTCCTTCTTCTTCCTCTCAGCTCACATGTGTTTCTGTGTTAGACAGGTTGGCGTACTCTACAGACTTGCTCCTGGGGTGTACAATGTGGAATACTGTTTGAAAGCTTGCCAAGTTTCATGCTGGGAGGATATGCCCATGACATAATGGCAAGTGAAAAAAAAAGCATAGGCATAGACTTATCATTTTAATTTTGTTTCAAGCAGGAAGATAGATACAATATATGTACATATATAATGTTAGAAGGAAATACACAAAAATATTAAGCTGATAAGTAGTTCATACATGAGTTTTTAAACTTTTTTCCACATTTCACACACATTTTTGCATTTTTTAATTTTTTCTACATCAGTATATGTTGCTTTTCTTATCCTAAAAACAAGGATTAATTGAAGCAAAATGTCATGTAAGCCTCTTGCTAGCGAGACCAACAGATAAACCCTATCTCCTGCTCCTTTGGCATATGATCCTATCTTCTAATGAATTAGAGCCAAATGATGCAGAAAAGAAGAGGGGGAGGGATAAGAATTTGTGGGTGGACTTCAGGACACTGGTAACCAAAGGGTGAGTGTGGCTGTGGATGACCAGATACTGCGAGGCTGCGTGGGGGTGAGCCGCCATTTTACTGTACTACCCCCTCTTCCCTCTCTGGGAGATAGAGGGTGCTCCTCCAAGGCTATTTGCTGGACAGAGCAGGTATCTATACCAAAGCTGGATGACACTGGAGATTTGACCCCAGGACAGGGAGGCTGAGGCCCAGGCAGGACTAGTCGGGTCTCTAAGTGTCAGGTGTGAGGCGTGGGGCATGCAGTCACAGTCTGTTTGCCAGCACAGGCAGTTCTGTTTGGCAGGTGGG